CTTGCTAAGATATCATAGTGTGTATCCAGCAACTTGGAAATGCGACACGAATTCTGGCCACCCCTGATGACACCTTTCCTACGAAGCGAGCATTTCCACCCCCACGTCTGTGTGACGGTACAACGTCAATGTACTGATACATGACGATATATTCAGTCTCTTTACATCGATGCTGCGTACTGCCGACGCAGTACGATGCCAACCCGCCGAGCACTATCGCCGGAGAGCATCCGAGTGCCCCACACCCACTCATTGGAAGTGGCGGCAGCCGCAGTATCCACACGGGTAGGCTCGTTGGTTCCAGGAGACAAGGCAACAACGTGCCGCACGGGACTGGCCGAATGATCGATCACCGCTTCTTTACCTCATGCGGGGTGCAGTCTTGCGGCACGACTTGCATGCGTTTCTACCACTGGCATTGCCTCCAAGCCGCATGCGCACACTGTATCAGCCAGCCTGCGATATGGTTTTAGCAGGGGTGGCGTTGCCTCCAAGCTGCAAGCCACTACTTCATGACTTTGGCTGCATGGGCTCAGAGAGCATCGCGAGGTACGTCGGTCCATGTGTATCGCAAATTCACAATATCTAGTGACAATGGCGTGCGACCCAAAATACGTAAACAGCGCATGTTACGGCTTGGCTGAGGCATGAAACTTCTCCGTATGATGCCGCGAGGCTACGTGTACACGTTTTGGTCCACGCGCAGCTTACTCCGTCGCTTCGCTGAAGGATAAGGCCCCAGACTATTCGATATTACGGCGGGCTGAAGGAACAGGAGTGAAGCAACATGATCGACTGTACCGCGCCAATGATACCTGACGCATTGAAAACCACGCCATATGCAGCCGGCTCGAACAGTCGTGTCATAGATAACCGCATCAGCATTATCGAATGAGCTTCGTACTCAGAATGTCGATCGACACTTGGGCCATCAGAATCAATCACTCTATGTTGATTGATCACCTTCTCGCGGCACTTGCGGCTTCAAGAGGTGGCCAAATATACCGGCTACCTGGATATATGTTAGTAAGCAGTCTCTTCTCTGACCTACATTGCCCGTTGAGACATGAACATCCCTACACCTGTACTGCAAAATAATCCGAAGTAGGTCATCTCGTCATTATCGCAATGATAATGTCACGCATCTGCAAGCCTCCTGCTAGTCAGCAGCTTATGCACAACGCTCATCTTTCAATCCGACATTCCCGAAAATGCGAAGCGAGAGACGGCACCATTGAGGTTCATGTTTAATTCCACATGCATATACGATCTTACATCGACCCCATCAGGCGACGACATCCTGCGCCTTCATCATGCAGGACGCCTCATTCACAGAATCAACAGCCCACCGGAAGATTTTACATCTGACGGGCTATCAGTTCATGCGCAGCCCCCACATGAAGTACCACGTTGTTCAGCGCCTGGTTCGCATATCCACAGTGGGACCCTGCTTGGTGAAGACTTTGATGAAGAGATCTTGAGTAACCGCGGCTTGCGCCTGCACAAGTTGATCGGCGAATGCGAAAGCCGCGGGAAGGACATTCCAGCCTCAAGTCAATGGCTTGACGTTTGATCGGAGTACGGCGCCACGTGCGGTAAACACCACGCTGCAAGCCTCGCAGTCAAGGAACAGAGTGGATACCCAGCACCTACCACCGAGTCGAGCGCGCTTATCTCACAAATTGCGGAGTTTACCAATTTCGCAGAGTCCTTACATAGAACAGTTACGCCCCGCAGAAGCGAGGTACCCATACCAAACGCCCCGAGGCTCGTGCGAACTCAGAACTCAGCTTAATGCTTACGAGAGAATCGGAGCATCATCTTCACCGATCAGAAATCACGGTGACACAAATCCGATATGCCTCACCTTTTCGAATCTTCTTTTTTCGGTGCAGCGAACATCCACTCTCAGCCTCGTGCATGCTGCAACCTCCGCAATAGATAGTGCAATCGGTCCTACTCCACGGTCATACAGCATCGTAAACGCAAGGCACAACACCCACCTGCCTTTCCCGCTGCTACATACCCATCACACAGCATACTCGTGACATGTAAAACACATCGGATCACCATCCGAGCAAATAGACTTTCGAACAAATCACGCATGGCAGTTCTCAGCTCCGCATCCACCCGCCTCGCAGGGCAGTCGTACATGAACACGTACATGAAAGCTCGGCCCCGCAATCCTTTCCAAGATTTTCTCGCTCAAGCGACAGTCGCATTCGTGATAGCTCTTGCCAGGCGAGCCATTCACGTACTGAGGGAGTGACATCCACATCGTAAATGTCTCGCATATGTTCTGCATGCTTTCGCATCCACCATCTCCGATGCCCAATGTGTGCCTCAAGCCCAAGCTGTCCTCCGAGAGGTTGCGAGCAGAGCGCCAGCAGCGGGAAACCAAAACTCTACCTAGCTACTTACCTAACCAACACGTGCCCTTACCTACCTACCCGCGACATGCGTGCCCTGCGTGCGTGCGTACGTGCAGCGAGACTTAGCAACACCTCACGCCGAAGGAACGCTGCGTTGCGCTCGGACACTACGCATTGCGTGCATGCTGTGTAACATACTATACATATATACACATGGCTCATGACTCGGTACATGATCCAAGCCCATCTGCATGCTGCACACTGCTCCGTAGTAATCCACGGCCATAGGTCAGAAACGGGAAGGAACGAAACGAAGGAAGGTGGACGAATGCGCAGAGGAGAGCGAACGCACAGCCGCAAAAGACCAGAGTTCGCGTCACACAGGCACAGCCGCAGGCAGGCAGGCAGCAAGACTATTGAATTTTGACTCGTCTTCGTATACTTGAGCTTGAACTTGGTTGAATACGCCATGGAGGTTGTGCAACGTTACCGCGGTGATCGGATCGTGCCGTTCTGGTTCCGCCCTTGGATTTTGCTTTTTCGCGTGTCCGCCAACTCGCAGCTGCCAGCCTCGAACGGTTCCTTCCATACTTTCGGTACGGAGGCATCATCGCATCATCAGTACAGTAAACACCAACGCGCATCTCCATCCATTCGCGCAAGGCCCACTGCCCAAACCCAATCTCTTCGTTCCCCTTACCTCACCACTTTGCCTCACTTGCCTCACTTCCTGCCTTACCTCTGCCACTCAAATCCATGGCCCAGTCCAGCCTCTGCGCCCAAACCACATCCGCAACACCCGCAAGACCGGATAGTGGCTTTTGCGTTCCCGTGCTCTGCGGGGAACTTTGAACCCACACTTCCGTCCGCCGTCACTGGGAACCTACGAACCAGCGAGCGAAACAGTTTACGGGCAAGCGGGCGTGCGCAAGGTTTACACTTTTTTTTGCTTTCACAACCCTACCCGTGCGCCACAACAGTCCAGATCTACGACGGACTGTTTGCTCCTTTTTCTTTTTTGTCAACGCCAACGGATTAAGTGGCTAAGCTTGTGGTTTTCTCCGCACGTTAGCTAGAGCGGTACGGTACGGTACTGTTGGTTGCAGATGCAAGTGCATAGTGTTGTCATGATGTAGTGAAGCCGGGGTGCGGAGTAAGACGTGTTTAGTGCTGCATGTGGAGAGTGAGTGTGGGGTGTGTTGGCAGAAGTGTCATTCATTCATTTTCGCGAAGAAGCTACTGCAATAGTAAAGCGCAGCTGTAGTGTGCGTGCGGATGGTTACAAGCTTGGGAGAGAACACGAGGTTAGGACGGAAGCTAGCCACGTCAACCACGGCCGTGGTGGCAGGCAGAGGTTAGCTGGAAATGCCATCGTTCAAATTACCATGTCTGCAGTGCGCATGCGTTGCGGCGGCGTTATGCGGCTCCGAGGAAGTGGTTGAGAGGGAGCGTAGCTCGTGCTCTCGAGACGAAGATCGTGAACGGCTGCGTCGATCGGGCTGCAAGGCCAGCCCGCTCCCAACCCATCGCCCCTTTCCGCCAGTTCCAGTCCAGCCAGTCTCCTGAGCGACGGGAAAAATATTTTCTGTCATCATTCACGGTGGTCAGAGCATGGAAGCATCGAGAAGGAGGGTTGTGTGGAAATTTGACTTCCAAATCTGCGCAATCGTGGCGCTGAAGCCGTGTGGTATCATTTCTAAATGTTTGTTGAGTGGTATCTTCCTGATGATTAACCTTATCCCACGCCAATGCCATGCCCATTACCCACAACAAGCCAAAGGGCCAAAGAGTGAACATGCGCCAATGCCCACCCCCTCTTCCTTGCAAGACTAGCATGCAAGACCGGGCCGGCCCACGTATAGAAGTGAAGAGAAAAAGATTGCACCAAACCATGTCCTGCATCGAAGCGAAATTGATCGTCCTCTATCGGAAGGAGGAGACGAAAGAAAGAAAACAACCCGAAAAGTCAACAGCCGACCGTCCATGCGAAAACCCCGCACCGCAGGCTCGGCAATTGAAAACAATGCTATGCAAAGCAGTTTTGATGTTGTCGTAGCGTCGTTAAGAGTTTGCTAACAAAGGAAATAAGAGAGAACAGTAGAAGCTTTGTACAGGTAATGATCGAGCGATGAAGCTCAAGAAGCAAGTCTATGGGATATCGCCAAGATGCAGTAACTAAGGTCAAAGTTTGCTCGCCGGCAAACTATCCTTGTTGGTCCCCCATGGTTGAGTGTTGCGCCGATGACCGATGTGAAAACAAAGTATTGGTTGTAGAAATGGGTATATGCTAGAAGCGAAGAGTGGGACGAGGCGATCAGTGTCCAAGAGGACACATGATCAACGATAACTTTTGAGTGCCGAGGCCAAGTTGCGGTTCGATGGAGTTTTGATAGCCGTCGGAAGCGGGCCTGCCAACACAATGCGGTTGCGCCAGGGCGCGGTATTTTGATTGAGGATGGGTCGGGATTGTTTGCCGTGGCCCTTGTCGTGGCGCCAGGCACCAATGGAAGATGCCGAAACGGAACGCCGTAGGATAGCAGAGTAGAGGTCGGTATGGATGAAATGTATGATACAAGCTGGATCGACGCGTGGCGCGTCGTCAGCTGCAAGCAGTGGCGTCATGCTACGCTATCGCTCGAATGTGCTTGAGCGACTGATGGAGTCTAGGTCGGATTCGCGCGACTCGCTACCCGCGCGTTGCTGTTCTTCCTTGCGCTTCCTGCGCTCGCTGGGCGCACGGCTGATCAAGCGCCTCACGAAGCTGCGGCTTGCCTTGGTGTTGGTGGGCTCTTGAAGCGGGCTGGCAGGCTCAATGGATGATCCGCAAGAAGCGTTGGCGGCAGGCTCGGGTGCGTCGACAATGTCCTGCTTCTTGATCTTGCAGAAGAGAGTGGAGAACAGGTATTGCTCGCCATTGCTGTCGTAAAGCGGGAGATGGCGGTAGCCTTGCTGGATGCTGTTGAGCTTGGCCGTGAATGTAGCAAGAGGGGCGTGATTGGTGGTTCGGGCATCGAGCGAGTTCCAGACAGTCCAGCGGACGAAGACAAGGCTGGGGTACCTGGTCGTAACTGTCATATCAATCTCGTTGCCGAACTCGGGGTTGTAACCATTGCCCTCTACGATGCGTGTTCGCTTGCGCAGGGGATTGCCGATGCCAGAGTGGCCATTGCGAGCAGATGCGTCCTGTCCGCCGATACCGGTGGCATTCGCACCCATGTCTTCAGCACAGTACATCTCAAACTCAACATAGGGGTTGATATTGGCTTCCTGTCCGAGACCGCGGGGGCGCGGGAGCTGTTGAGCAGAGATGATTTGCACAGTGAACTTGACTTCCTTCTTAGGTGCCTTCCTGTGACCAATGACTGGGGTCTGTGACTCAAGACGAAGAGCAGCTGGCTTCAGCACGTAGCCGGTGCGGTCTTCTCCACCAGCAAACATGGCCTCGTTCAACTGTTGACCGAGATCATAAGTTTGCCAGTTCAGCGCAGCCATCTGGACGCCGCGACGCCAGAACTTGAGGGGATCAAAGTTGGACGAGTTGATGCGGAAGGCGTGAGGGTAGACGCGCATGAGGCAACGCATGTTATGCTCCTCAAGCAAGTGCTTCTCCCGGGCTCCGGGCTTGGTGAGCTTCTCGAAAGCGCGCTCGTTGATGGAGAAGACATGGTTGAAGGTGTTTGCATCGATGCTGCCAAAGTCGGTGAACTTGACTCCTCTTGTGTAGACACCAAGATTGCCGAGCTCTTTCGTGATGTTGCTGGTCTTGGTCTTCTTCGGCTTACGGCGATCATCTACTACCTCAGCAGTCTCGGCAGTGGTTGCATTGGGGCTGTCGCTGTCTTCAGCTGAGCTCACAGCTGCGGAAGTGGGTAGCGTGTTGTTTGATGTTCGGGGTGTTGCCCAGAAGGATGCTGCTCGCTCTGGTGGGCTCATTGAAGGCGGGCTGGAAAGAAGAGGCGAGTTCGGGATGAGGTTGTCGTTCAGTATCACGGGTCTCGACCATGGAGAGCTGAAGCTGCGCTGTCTTCGGGAGGTGATCTCGCCCATGAGAGCCCTGGTGTCGATTTCATCGCCAGCAGCACGCTTGACCTTGATGAGAATGCGGTGCTTCAGCTCTTCTGGTGAGGGTAGCGACTGCGACTCAAAGTCCAGTGGCTGGAGAACCAATTTGTCACCAAACTCCTGCATCATGATCTTGACCATGGCAGACTGTTGGACCGGAGAGCAGTGCACCTCAAGCGAGAGGATGACTGGATAGGGTGATTCTGTGAAGGCGTACTTGTTGATGACCTTGATGGTGTCTTGGAAGAGGATGCTCTTGGTCAGAGTGCGGCCGTGCATGACGACCGGAATGTTGTCGGCGCCATCCCAGCAGTCGATCTCGAGGCATCGGCAGCCCTTCTGAAGCGCAGTAATGTACGCCTCAGTGCTTGATTCGCCTGCAACTTGACGGCCGAGCAGGTAAGTGTTGTGTGAGCTGGAGATGTAGTACTCGTTCAATGGTCGGTTGAGTTCCTGTGGCTGGCCGGCTGGCTTGAGGATGGAGTTGGCAGCCGAAGTCAGGTACGTCTGGAAAGCGGGGAAGTTCATGGCCAATGGCAATGGGACCTCTCCGCCCTCGGTCGGAGTAGCAGCCATTCTGGGTCTTGTTGCACGCGCAAACTTCTCAAAGGTGTTGGTCCAGTATTCGAGGTCGGCGTTCACGTCTACGCCTTGCTCGCGCTGCAGAAAGTCGAAGAAAGTGTACTTGTCCATCTCAATTTTTGAGCCAGACGTGTAGGTCTTGTAGATCGCCTTGATGTCTTTGCGCTCCTTGAGGCGGCGCACAAAGTACAAGAATTGCGATTGGTTTAGTTTTCCAGCGTCGAGGGTATCGGCTTTCTGGAAGTAGGCGCGAAGGGTGGCTTCGGTGCAGTTGATGTGTAGACTTCGGCACAGCTCGACGGTGCTGGGGAAGTCAAGTGTCTCGTCGCCCTCGCCACGCTTCTTCATTGCGCGTTGCCAGACGAGCTTCGCGCTCTTGTCGGCAAAGCCCAAGAGGCCGGCCATCAGGTCGATGCGGTTGCGCGACACAGACTCGAGCGTCTGAGTCCACATGTTGAAGATGCCAACGTCAGGCGCAATCAAGTGCATCGTTCGTATCCGACCCTTGGAGCGTGTTGTGTCGGTGTAGACAATGGTAAACCAGTAGGGGGCCCAGTTCTCGGATAGGTTGCACTCTTCGCGGTAGTGCTTAGCTTCCGGACCTGAGCGGATCTCCTTGACATCGTCGATGTAGAAGGCTTTGGAGGGGCGCGAGGAATCCCAGAACACCTTGGCTGATTCCAGATCGAGCCGCAGGTTGATCTCCTTCTTCTCCTTCTTGGTAATCTTTCTCAAAACGGTGCCCTGCTCGAGGCGCGAGTTGCGTACGGGGGCGACGACGGCGGCATCTGGTATCGAGCTGAAGCTGGGTGTTGGGTGTGAGATGCCAAGGCCGTGGATGGGCTCAAAGGGGTCTTCTACGGCTTCCTCCTCTTCAAAGGCGTCGAAGTCGGAGATGCCAGTGTCGGCGTCGGCGGCAGTCCTGCTGTCGCTGCGGCGGCGCATGATGACGGGGCCGGAGCTCTTGTCGCGCTGCGCAGACGCATTGCCTCGGCGGAAGCGACCTGGAATGCCCTGCGCGCCGCGGCTCACTCTGCGGATCAGACCTGGTCCCTTTCCTAGGGCCTCGGCCATGGCTGACGGTGAGGACGTGGGCGGCGACTGGACGGGTGGTGGAGGCAGGAGCGACTCGGGCAGGGTGTAGGAGGGAATGGCCGGCAGCGAGGACGAGACGGGCACCATGCCCTCGGGCGTGGACTGCAGGGAGCCATTGAGAGAGCCATTGAGGTACGAGGCCGTCAGCGCGGGACTGGAGCGGGCGGGTATGGTGATGGCGCGTCCGAAGCTGGGCGAGGGCGAAGGCATGCGCGGTCGCGAGATGGCGTCGTGCAGCAGCGACATGGTTGGTGGTGTGGAACAAGCAAGAGGATGTGACGGGGCGGGCTAGTAAATCTTCATGGCGCGGGTCGTGGTGAGGGAGAAGGAGCGTAACGGCGAGCGGGCGCCTCTGGGTAATAAAAGCAGACAGGATCAACAGCCTGCTGGGTCCTGGTGGAAAAGCGTAGGCTAGGAGCAGCTTCGCATCGTGAGACTGACGGAATGCGTTTGGGCTATGACGAGTCGGGCTTGGGAAGCGCGCGCTGCGCGAAGATGCAGACGCAGGTCAGCTGGGATTACTGGAGAATTGACTTGCATGCACTCTGCATGGATAATTTGGGATCTGAGTACTCCGGAGCAGTCGTGGGGGTTGCAAGCGAATCGCGTCGGCAGACCAGGGCGGGCGAAAATCAGTCAGCGCGCGAGTGGGCGCTGCAGGAAATGCGGAGAAGGGTGTGGTGAGGCGGCGTATCGTGAGTGAGGTGGTGGAATTGTCGGTGGTGTGAGGGTCTTGTGCGTCTGCAATTGGGCGTAGTGTGGATAGTTGCTGGATAGTGTGCGAGAGGAGTGGGCTGTAGGGCAGACAGGTAGTAGTATATGGGCAACGGCTGCGCTTGGCGGCCGTCTTTGGGCCAGGAACAGACAAGGCGCTCACCGAATTTTCAGCTAAATCTTACAAGCACACGATTATCCCTTGACTCCTAGTCATTCGGGCTTCCATCCGCCTCCGCTCAATTCGGGCTCCGAGGGCACTTCCCTGTTTGTCTCCTGGCCTAGCGCTCGACTGCGAGAGCCGCGACACTGGTTAAGGCCCCACTGAGCAACGGTGTCCTGTATGACGCAGCCCATGGTTATACTATGGGGTCCGCCAATCATGGCGCCTCACCGTTCGTCGCCTGAGCATCACGGCCACGGCATTCCACAGGCACCCAGCGCGGCAGCATGGCACAATGCGATGACAGGGCAGTGCATGTTCTGCTCTTGTTCATTGTCCACCGAGTTGCATCACAGGGAGCCATGCTCCATAGTCTGATCCATCGCCCATTGTCACGATGCCGTGCCTTCCGGAGCGGGCATGGCATGGCCGCACGAAGAAGCAACCTCAGCGGCCCTGATGCTGTTCGGTTCGTGTGTCGTCGATCAACTTTGACTCACCGGTATGTTACGCTGGCCTGTTAAAACTTTGATGGGTACAGGCCCGCTTGGTAGTATCGACTATGTCGCCGTCGTCATGTTTGCTACATCGTGTGCGCGCGGTATACTAGCTCTGACTGGCCTGGCACAGCAAGACGGTGAGTCCGAGTCACACGAAGCAATGAGTGTACTGCATTCCGCCCACAGTCGCTGGAAACAAACCGCCAGCCAGTCGCATCCGCGGTGCAAACGCCCCATGTGTGGCGGTGGAATTCCCCATCTCTCACACGTGGCGCGCGGGCAAGTGAAACCCAAGTGCGAAGCCGGCACAACGGTTCCATCATCATAGCCGGCTTCTGACGGCCGGCGCAGAGTCAGGGATCCGCCGGCGACGCCCTCCAACCTTCTGCTGGCCCCTCAATTTGCTGCAGCCGACTCGGCTGCTTCACAATTCCAGCACGTCCCGCTCCTCACAAAGAATGGCGCGACAATGCGGTGCGCCCAATGCTCGTATCCGCATCGCCCTGCCACTGCGAGTCGCGTGATTGTTCCACAAACTTTCCACAGCTTCGAGAAGGAAGGATTCCTGCCCCTGGCGCCCTGCTGCCAATCAAACCACGGTCGCCCCCGCACATCAACCGCACACGATGCCAACGTGCCGGGCTTTCCACTTTCGTACTGTCCATGTGACTTGGGGCGGTGTGATGCATCACAGTCCATCGTTGCGCTTTGTCCAATCGTTTCTTTGATGCGCAGTAGGTATTCTGAGCTGCCGCTTTCATGCCTTGATTCCTTTCATGCCCTGATGTCGTGTCACCGCATTCGGCCCTTGGGCACCAGCGGCCTCTCGTAGCCCTTCGGACACATATCCGGTAGGCTCGCCGTTGTCGTCGTTGCCGTTCGCTAAGTAAGGATGGCCGGCACTGTGTTGTCACAACTCGTAGGGCTCACCCGAAATAGCGCTGCACGTAGCCCCGCCTGCTCTGAGCCTGCTCGAAACATTTGCAACGATGACATGCATCTCTGGCCAAGATACCATGCATTCAGTGCCCTGTACCCATTCCCCGTGCGAAGGGTGATGCCTCCACATATTCATATCGCTATCTTCACATGGCTTTCTGCATTGAGCTTTTGCATCACTCTGCTGCTCCATGTTTGCGCTGCCGATGCTGTCCGGATGTTGAGCAGCGCGGACGATCGGAATCTTATTGTGTCCATGAGCTGAGCTGAGCTCATGCTACCGGACTGCGGCATGAACTGCCCATCGTACACATTCTGCGCCAATGAGAACATGTAGGCCCCATAAAATATTTTGATTCGCTCATGGCACTAGGTCGCACGCCGATTGTTAGCCTACCACGGTACTACGTTGCGATATCGATAGGCATGAAATGGCGAATCCATGTTACAGGAAGAGCCGAAACTTTCCACCAAATTTCAGCCTCAGGCATCCCGCGTCCGCACTGAGACGACCAACCAGCATGTACCTTGTCAACGTTTGTTAGGATCGACGAGGTGGAGTGCCCCATCATCGCTCGTCAGGATATCGCAGCCAGAGGAAGACCCTTGCGAATTTCCGCACAATATGCGTCTGTTCGACCATGTTGGATGCTGTGCAACGGCGCTGGCATGTCCATCTAGGTTGCGGGACGTTTTTGTGCTACTGAAGACCCTTGAGGAGATGATGTCTGAGGAAGCGTGGTTCTGCAGAGATGCATGGGATTGCCCGTCGAACACTTTACGACCCGACATCTTCTCGCCCTGCTTATTCCCGCTCACTCCCTCAACAAATTCACCAAGTCCCAATGGACCGTCGTTGAGAAATGTTGATGGCGTTAAAGCTCTGGATTCCAAGGCGTCATAGCCCGTGCCAGAAGCAATTCGAGGTCTAGACTCGAACGTTGCAGGGCTGACAGAGCTGACGGCACGAGATAGTGGCAGACACCTTGAGGATGAATTCTCCGAATATTTTTGAACCAGCGGGGATGTCTTGCATGCATGATCATGCATTCCTTGATCGTTATCGTCGGTCTGAAAAACAAACGCTTGCCAATTCTTCTCGTCTTCGTCCAGACTTTGCACAGCAGCGTTGACCGGTCTGTCCCGACGAATGAGGGCCATGTCGGAGGCATGCACCGATATTGGTTTTCTTACACCTCTCTTCAAAGACGGCAAAGAGGCGGAAACGGAGGACGAGCTAATGCGACTCTCGTTGCCCTGACCTTGAGTGGCATGCTGTGACCAGTCCATTGCAGCTTCGTTATTATGTCTCTTGGCGGGGTAATCATGCGGGACGCTGCTTCTGGATAGAATGGATTTGTCGGAGTGGCTTGAACCATCGGAGATTGCGAGATACGTCTTCCAGGGGCCCTCATCGACGATTGTATTGGCAGCAGAAACGTCAACACCGACTGATCGTTCCCTATCAATATTGTGCTGATGCACATATCCCGTCTTGGACTCACCTACCGAGTCTGGATCGTCAAAAGGCTTTGTCTCACCGATCTGGTTGCCATCCGACGCAGTGCGACCACGGGCACCTGCAGTAGAGTTGGAGCCGCTGAAGGCGAGACGAAATGCGCGCTCTTCCCCGTAAGCATGGTGTGAGAGTCGGAAGTCATGCGTAGAGCTCTTGTTTTCACGAAAAGTCATCGTCGCAGGTTGACACTGCAGCTCAAACTGGTCACCCGTAAAGCTCTTTTGCTCAGACGCGTCTGGAGAAGGACTAGCTACACTGCGCCGAGCAAGGCCATAGTACTGAGGTTGTTCACCGGTCGATGGCGCACGGGAAGCAACATCAGCTTGCTCGAAAGCACTAGTTGCTGCAAGAAGCTCAAGGTCGGCAGGTGGCTTCGCTGAGCGTAGCTGTGCAAGCGGTCCTTCCTGGTCGAAAAGCATGGATTCAGACGAAGCATGCGACTGCGCATATTGGTCCAATTGTGTAGAGTAAGTGTTTGTCATTGCATCTGTGCCAATCCGGATTCGAACATCATCTAGACGCTGGCGTGGACCACTATCTCCATGGACTTGGGCAAAGGAATCGTCTGCAAAGTCATGGACTTCATTCCCGAATTCATCCTTGTTCTTTCGTCTTGGGGCTGCACCGCGTCCTCTTGTCGTTCTTCTGCGCTTGCCGATCTTGCTCTTCTCTCTGCTCGAGCGGAACCGCAGACTGACCGGCTTCGATGGGTCGATGCCGACCCAGTCTTTCTGTGTTAAGAGCCTCTTCCTATTCGCTTCGAGTAAGTGCAGTTCCGTATCGGCTTCGGAGGCCTTGCGTTTTCCGTCACGCCAGTCTATCTATCTATTAGTATCTGCGGTCACTTGGGCAAGTGAGTGACGAGCCGTCACTACTACCTTTATGAGTAAGCCGATCGTTTGGGTGTGGTTCTCCATGGGGCGATGTCTCACGGCGTTTTGCGGTTGGCTGATAGTTGCCTGGCGTGTGGTCAGGCTGCGTTCTCTCGTTGCGACGTTTCGCTGCGTGCCCCGTGTGTCGCAGAGAGCCTGAGCCAGATGGTGCTATGCCTAAAAGGTAGGAGTCTCCATCGTCTTGCAAATAGCTAGGGCGAAATGGAGCGACGGGAGAGTTAGTATCATTTTGAAGCTGTGTCCGCGCTCGGGCAAAGTATGATTTCTGCTGTTGGACCACGCCCGTGTTGGCTTTCTTGGTGCGCTGTAGCGAGCCACCTGTCCAGTTCATATTCGAACGCGTCAAAGTTTTCCTGTCGCTGTCCTGGATATGTGTGGGCCGATGGAGAGCATATCTTGGGTTGTGCTTGGGGGATGAGCACTTTGCTCGTTGCAGTTGCCCAGGTGCTGCGCGCGCGCTTGCCGACTGGCGATGGGCTGCTCCTTCCCCTCAGCGGCTCCTCTCTCACGTCACCCTCATGAACCCCGAACCTGCAACACAACTGCAGCACGTCACTCCGCCTCTCGTAGCGCTGGCCTACTCATCTTCCTCGCTTAGACTCAGCTGTACAGCTCGAGTGTCTTGCGCGACTCATACTCGGATCTGTCGTGCCGGCGGCAAAACGACTACAGATGCGAGGGTCCAATCTCCTGATCGATCAGCGCCTCCTCCATCTTCCCTCCGCAAAACTAGTGGACCGCCGCAGATGTGCCGAGACCCTGCGACGGGAACCCCGTGGGTGTAGAAAATCTTCTACATTAATGGCCAGAGGGTGGTGGAGAAGGGACCTAAAAGATCATCGCGCTGCTACACCATCTTCAACACATACAGCAACATATGCGAGGGCCTCGAGTTCTGCAAAGCCGATTTTAGAGCTATCCACAACTCAAAAACTTTGGGGCAACTCCTGGGGAAATCGTGGAGAGGTGGAGAAGAACGTGCTCGACGACCATGGCCCCATACAAAGGTCCACCACCTCCAACGAAACCCCGTTCATCCATCTCTTTAGAATTCGCAGCCAAAACACCGGTCGCGATAAGTGCGCTTCCTGCATAATGCTGGAGCTAGTTCAGATCATTGCTCCTTGCAGAGGGAATTCCGGTCCTAAACGGGTCTTGCGGCATTCTGAAAGCGCCAATGTGCACAGGATGCGTGACTTGACTGGCCGCTAAATGTGTTCTCCCAAACTGACCAGGCACTCGTGTTGCGTTCCCACCCAAATGCCTCAATCTACGTCCACTACGCCAACCACTAATCGTCAACAGTCGTTCAGCTTCCGTTCTCGAGGGTTTCTTTTTGTAATTTTCTATACCAGGTGTTGAGCTTGGTTTTGAGTAAATACCACCCATATCCACAATGGCAGCCCGATCCTATAATGCGGAATGATGGCATACATGCTTCCTGGCGCCGCAGTCCATACTGCACATGCGCCGCCAGTTGCGGTGTACATTCATGTACAGTTACGTCAAGCGCTATGGCCTGAGACTATGCCTGTGGGTACTGGTTCTACTCGCGGCCCACCGCATGTAAGCTGGGGAGATATGGCTCAATGCACGCGCCTACACTCGGAAGAGAGGTGCGTCAGTCGTCTCATTCGACATGTGAAAGGTAGCGATAAGGCCCGCGCATGGAATCGCAGGTGTGTCTCGTCTCTATCGATGCTATATTATTCAGTCGAGGTCGGTTTTCAATATGGTGACGACGGACGAAGGCTAAGAGCCCAAGAGCCTAAGACGGATTGGCATGTCTGCCGAGATAGCCTACGTTTGAGCCTCAAGTTGCCTCATCTAGCTTCCGATACTTGGCGATAATTGTCGGCCGGATGGTTCTCGCCGGAAACGAGGAGCTATCGATCGGAGCTGGTAGACTCCAAAGGGACTCATCAGCATCGCCTGCCCTGAGTCCCTGAGGCTCTTCATTTGCGGACGCCCCAGCCGATTCGAATGGCTGTTCCAAGGCGCCGAAGCGATATGCGAGCTAATCAGATATGACATCACTAGCGCAAAAGACCCTCAAAACTCTGCAACACAGTTCCACAGCAACACCAACCGCGGCCGTCTACCACATGGCGCGCATGGGACGGCAATACTTTGAGACCGCCTGAGATGCAGGAGGCCCTGTACCGTGACTGTCATACCCACTATTATTGCAACATTACCAGACTACTTGTCGAATGGGCATCGAGAAACATGCCACAATCTCTCACCACATGTCAGAAGCGCACGCCTGGGCTCTCCCTACCGCTATCGAATTCCGGTGTTGCAAAACCGTCCCTTGCCCTCAATCTGCCCGAGTGACGCCATAGATCTACGCAATGCCATCCAACAGAATCCCAAGCCATACCCTTATTGTTCAGGGTCCGGCACATTTACGCAGAAGCGCAGTGTACGGTGCCGCTAGAGTTGCAGTGGACGTTTGAGTAGTGTAGGGGGCGAAGTACAGACTACCTTGTCTCTTTGGTATAAAACTCTGGGTATCTGCGCGTAAACCAACCATCAACCCACCTCCACATATCCACATATCCACATACCCACAGTTCTCTCCGCTTCCTTTGAGGGGTTTTCTGGAGACATTACCTATCTATCGGGCTCGCAAACTATAAAGGCTGTTGTACTTCCAGCGTTTTCGAACTTGCTCAGACCACAACTGTACAGCTTCTTGCAACAAACAACGTTGCAAACTTCCTCGAACCCAAACTCCACACACTCCATCATCATGTCGGCACCTTCTCTAGCAGCCCCTTCAACGGGCATGCGTCGCCTCTCTGCCAGTGAGGCTACCAGCGACAACATCAAGATGGGCCCAACGGTCGTCGTCCCCCCACAACATCTCATGGCCCCCTCATCAAAAGCATCAGAAATCGCCAGTGCCTTCGAGACCGCCAGACATCACCTTGACGCTGCCAACACTCCTGGATCTCCTGGCTACACTCCCCCAGAGACATCAGTTACGGACAAATACGCCTTCGCTTTTGGTATGTTAGTCACCATGGCAAAACAAGTCTTCTCTAACGCATCCTAGATATCGATGGTGTCCTCATCCGAGGTGGACGACCCATCCCAGAAGCCGTTGAGGCCATGAAGATGCTCAACGGTGAGAACGAGTACGGCATTGTTGTACCATACATCTTCGTTACAAACGGTGGTGGAAAGACTGAAGCCGAGCGATGCGTGCAACTCAGCAAGCAAATGGAGATGGAAGTATCACCTGGACAATTCATTTGCGGACACACACCCATGAGGGAGATGGCAGAGAAGTACAACACCGTTCTCGTCGTTGGAGGCGAGGGCGAGAAGTGCCGCATTGTCGCTGAGGGCTACGGCTTCAAGGATGTGTAAGTTGGTCCGTAACTTCTGTCCATGACATCGACTAACATCGCTCCAGCGTCACTCCAGGAGACATCATCAAAGACAACCAAGATACTACGCCCTTCCGCAAGCTCACAGAGGAAGAATACAAGAACTCGCGAGTCCGCAACTTCGCTGAGGTCGACATTGACGCCATCTTCGTGTTCGCCGATTCTCGCGATTGGGCATCGGATCAGCAGATCATCCTCGACCTGCTGATGTCGAAGAACGGTCGTCTCGGAACCCGATCTGCCAACTTTGACGAAGGCCCACCAGTCTTCTTCTCTCACAACGATGTCGTCTGGAGTGCTTCGCATGACCTTACCCGTATTGGTATGGGTGCTCTCCGTGTTTCACTCGAGGCCATGTTCAAGGCTGTCACTGGCCGCGAGCTCAAGACAACCGCATTTGGCAAGCCTCAGATTGGCACTTTCGAATTCGCCACCCGCCTGCTTGCCGAGTGGCGTCGCGACACCCACGGCATCAACTCGGCTCCTTCAACCGTCTACTTTGTAGGTGACACACCCGAGTCTGATGTGAGGGGTACCAACGAGTACAACGAGCACACCGACTCCGCAAACTGGTACTCTATCCTAGTAGAGACTGGTGTCTACCAGCGCGGCACCACACCTCGCTTTGAGCCCAAGGCCATTGTGAAGAACGTCCTCGACGCCGTCAGGCACGGCATGGAGCGCGAGTACAAGAAGGCTCTCCGGGAGAGCATGATGGAGACTGGTGTGCTTGAGGAGTAGGGGGTTTTGACTCTCTTCTCTCTTTCTCTTCTTTGCTTTCCTTTCTGCATAGCACGGCGTTTGGGTAGTACCTCATTTGATTTCGGCAAGAGTCACTGCAGCAGTCGCTATAGATGATAGACATAGCTAGATCGCGCAATAGTAGACACAAACACAATTCATACAAGGCAGGCACAAATTGCCTCGTCACTTCAATCAGCCAATCTCTCTATTGCACATCCTCACTTTGATCACTAACGAAGAGCATCGCGTGTTTCAAACCAAATGACCATCTACGTGAACCAACTACCGACGTCTGCATTCGCAAGCAAGTCGATCCGGCCTTATTCATCCCATCACCTCGCCTACAAATGCCTCAACGATAGATCCTACCAAAAGGCAGCGAGCGAGTGTCGGCGGCAACTTCCGATTCGATCACTCCCACCCGGAATGACGAGGAGCGCAACGCCGCGTTACCCGGCACTTTCCACACGGCGCTCAACACCGCGAAGCTTGTATTGCGAACCGCCTGAGTCGGGCCGAGGTGGCTCGTAGTCGCCGGTTAGTGCGACCAGCGACCACTTGTATTACGACGGCCTCCATGATATCAGCCCACGTCACCAACGAAAAACGGCCGAGAACAGCCTTGCCGATGGGATCGCGATGAGAGAGAGATGTGGAGTAAGACTGTGGGAAGTTAATTGTGGGTGTTGTGGGCTGGAAGGATTGTGAGAGAGTCGATTGCGTGACTGTTAATGGCGGAACGTGTTCCGCAACTGTAAGAGGAAGTTGCGAAGACACGGTTAGGTCCCTCATCGCGATTTCGTGTCTGGCTCCACTACGAGAATACTGATACGACGGCATGTGACATGCATAGATGGACCATGTCCTCGGCACGGATAACACATCTTCCAACGGCCGTGGTGTACCGTATGTAGAGCACAGCACAGCAGCTCCGACACGTTTCGAATCGATCGACGAGGCGACGTTGCAACATGGGCCACATGTGGACCCCCCTCATTGCGAGGGGCACACGACGGATGAACCATCCTCATCCCACTTTCGCGCAATCTTATCGTTTCTCCAACGGGTGGATGAGGGACGACCGGCGGAATAGTGTTGCAAACAATTCTGAGACAAACATACGGCTATATTCTAAACTCTCGAGATGAGCCCGACACGACACTGACAGTCTGAGTTCGCGCTTGACTCATGGCCCTGGACCCCGCGACTCGTTTGACAACAGCCGGCCGCTGACGATCTGGGGTGGCCTTGCGGGCAATGCTGGACGTCAAATAACGAGGAATTACCTTGCGCGTTCTTCCAGGGCTGAAGCATGCAGAGGTTGGGGGGTAGCTGGTCAAACGTGAGACCAGTGATCCTGATTGACAGCCAATCTGACACTGAAGATCCCGTCTGTCTCATTTTCCCCTTCTGGCAAGTGAGCAGATTTTACCGTCTCCCCGCTGGCTGAGGCGTTTTGGTTCTCGTCGGTCCGTAATGAAGCCTTGCGGCAGGCTGCTCGACCTGCGCTGATAGGTATGCTGGACCCTGCAGCTGAGGGTTGCAGATAAGCGGTCGCTAATGCAAATGGCCGATGGTCCGCTCGGCAGTCAACGTGTACGCTCTTGTACAGAGTTCCATGTGATGGTAAGCTGGGGCTGGGAAATGATTGTCGTACGTGAGGGTGGTACTGTGTGAACCACTAGTCAAGGCCAAGATGTTGGTGAAGGTTTGGCTGAATGGTAGGTTTCTTGCCCTTCTCGAATCCGATTGGCGAGCATGCGTGTAGAGGACTCAACGAAAACAAAGATCACATTCCATACACGTGTGCATCGGTGGATTGTTTTGTCACGCGTCAGATGTTTAGTTTCAAACACCACTCCACTGTGGAGGCCTCAGTTCCACGGAAGATGAGAGAAATGAATGGTATTGGTATATACGGAAGGAGAAGAATGGACAACGAGGAAGGCTTGGCGATATGTAACCACTTCCCCTCACTCAGAGCGCTCTTCGTAGGCGTTGAGACTGTAGAACCAGTCCAGCTTGTCTCGTATAGCCTCTTCTGTGTAGTCCGCGTCCTCAACGTTCTTCGGTCGGAACTTGGGCTCCATGGGGTCGATGAACATGGTGGAATTGTCGTAGCCCCATTTCTCAAGGTTCGTGACATTGAATGCCACCATCATGCTGCGTGTTGTTAGTATGAAACCTCGTGACTACCGTATCCGAGAAAACTTACTCGTGGTCTTCGTGGACGAGATTGTGACAATGAAACATGTAAACACCTGCCCACGGTGCGTAGCGAGCCACAACCCTGACGACTTCACCAGGAGCGATCCACACAACGTCCTTCGTACCCGCTGCTTCATATGGCATCACCTCATTACGATTCCCCGTACGAGACAGCACCTGGAAGTCGACCAGGTGGATGTGAACAGGGTGCGAGGCATTTCCACCTCCGTGTCTCAACTCCCAGATCTCATCCTCGCCCAGGACAGGTCTTGTCAAGATACGGTTCTCGATGTCTTCCCAGCCTACACCGTTGACGAGCCACTCGCCGTCGATTCGCGAGAATTTGAAGCTCTTGGTGATGTTCGTCTCCGGAGGCGGAGAGATGTAGCGAAGGTCGGATGGTATGGGGTCGTTGTTGGTGCAGTCTGTCACGGTGTCGCCGACTACGAAGCGCATGACGCGATCAGTTGCGGCGAAGTCAAGGTTTCCCACCATTCCGCGCTCGTTGAGCATTGTGATGTTCTTGCCTTGGAAGTCGGCGAAGTCGACGACGATCTCGTAGCGTTCACCTTCGGAGATAGCGAAGCTCGACGTGTTCACGGGGTGGGAGAAAAGTCCTCCATCCGAACCGATCATGGTGAAGTCCACGGTCTCTTCAGTTGCATCGTCTTGCAAGTATAGGACAAAGGCTAGATGCCGTCAGCGGAGTCGTAAGTGGTGAATAAGGCAGGTTGACTTACAACGGCTGATGGTACCGTCGAGAATACGGAAGCGATACTTCCGTGGCTCAACGTTCATGTACGGCCAAGGCTGACCGTTCCTGTTTGTGGGTCAGCTGCGAAATCAGAGATCAGAATTGATGCGTGCTTACACATGGATGACATCGCCCCACAGTCCAGTATTGTTATTCGTATCGAACAAGAGAGAGCCATCAGGACTGTATGTCTTCGCACTCAAGGATAGAGGGATATCATGGTCACCAGTTGGCAACCCGAGGGCTTGTTCGTCTTCGTCCGTTATGATGTAAAAGCCAGAGAGCCCCCTGTATACATTTTCACCGGTCTGGCGCTCGGTATGGTCCTGTTAAGAGTCAATATGCGGGCAACAAGATGAAGGGCGGTTGAGAAAGACTGACATGGTACCAGATCGTTCGAGCGTTCTGTGCGTTCGGATAGTAGTAGTCTTTGTATTGACCAGGGAATGCGTAGTCTGCGGCCCAGCCATCGAACGGAGCACGGTTGTACTGGCCGTGAACATGGACTGATGAGTTTGTTGGACTGGTGTTTGTATATCGCACTACTGCCTCTGATAACTGAATCAGCTTTGACTTCATAGACAGGATGAAGCGGAGACATACCTCGCCCTTTTCGCATCATAAATGTCGGTCCCGGTGACGACCCATCATATGTGTATAGAGTAGTGGCTGGTAGATTGGGGTATATTTGTTGGGTGGCAGCCTTGACTTCCACCTCGTAGTAGTCGATAACGGCACCGGTAGTCTCATTGGTGTAGGTGCTACCCACTGTCAGCATTCGGCCACTTTCAACACGATGAGTACTTACAATTTGGCCTCCTTCACAACAGGTATTGGTAGTGGATACTGGAAGATCCATGTGTATTCTGGGCTGTCCCATCTTTCGGTCTTGTTGTTTGAGGGTATCGTGTCATATGGTGGTACGCCGGTCGGGCTAGGAATTGGAATGTGTGAAGGCAGAGTTACGTTGGCTAAAGGAGTGGCACGTATGCTGTGTATCAAACAGCCGACGAAAAGAAATGAACGAGTGACAAAGGGAGAATGCATCTTGGGAAGGAAACTCGACCAGCCTGCTTCCGCGGATGACGAGGCATCTCGAAAGCTTTAAGGAGAAAGCGATCAAACATTGTTGTTGACGTATGAGAACAGAACCGATCGTTTGATGAGGCATGGGCCATGTGATAGATCCTGCGTATCTCGCAAAACGAAGGACAGGCGCAGGGACTGTTGTGGCTGACTCCCAAGCATGCGGATCAGTATGTAGTGACTCCTCTAATCGAGCCAGGATCCACCATATTGGGAAAGGAAGTTAAGGAGAGTTGGGCCATCGAAGATTGCACGTTGAGGTGAGTTGAGAAGAGCGAAGAAAAAGAAAGTCAAGGGGGTTCTGCGGCGGTACGCCACGAGAGTGTAGTCAGTGTCGTCGGCATCATTAGATCTAGACACGAGAAGAGCGCTATACTGTTCTCCATCACTCAATACTTGAGCCGGCTGTGCGATTACAGCGTGGCGCACGAGTTGATGTCGTGAACAAGGAGCTGCGATGATCTGTGGACCCTTCCCGCGTGCAGATGATGTCTAGGCTCAAAGCGGTAACGCTAATGCTTTCTTTGGCTGCGCTTCCTCCTGACACTACGGTCTTCTCGCATTGCAACCGCACGCAACACCAACGCTTGCGCAATACCCTGACACTACCTTTAGATGCGTTCTCTTATCTCTGATCGCTAGTTACGAAGCTTATGCTTGCGTGTCAGTCCCTCCCTCGTGCCCCTCCTATCTTTGATCAACACTTCGCCAGATGCTGTAGCTCGGCTAAGCAGCGCCTCACGGTCTCCGCATCTCTCAATCTTGACAAAAAGCACCTCGATGTCTATTCTTGCTGTATAGCCGAGCACTAGCACGATAGCGAGGCTGAACGCGAGGCCCCGAGTTATTGGCATGTCGCACCTGCCACACTACCACCATGCTTGTTGCCATGATCGGCATCACGGCTTCGAATACTGCATTTTATGTGGTGGCACGGCATGGCACGCTCTATACATCTGGTTCGGGAGATTGCCACCGTTGACGCGGTAGGGCCACGAAGCGGCAATCGATAATCGAAATGGGAAACGCACGCCCTCCAGATATCGATATTGCCCGGTTGGAATACGTGCACCGGTATCTCATGGCTGATTGTTGTTTTGACGACGGAACCAAGTCATGCGCTGATGCATTAACAGACCCGGTTGCATAGCGTGAGAAAGTACACGAAGTTGCGACTTTGCAAAGCCTATCATTCGGTCGAATGCGCTGCAAACATCAGCAGTCGAAATATTTTCACATCTTGACTAATTCGATCAGGTTAGCAGCTCAAGTACTGAAAGTTCTTTTGTACAGATATCACCGTTGGGTGGTAGCATTCCTGATCGATCCTATTTCGGCAAAGCAACCCTACATGGGGGAAAAACAGCGAGTTGGAGAGACTACTGTTAGACAATAACGTCGTATCAAACTGAAGCAGTCATTCGAATTTCGGCATAAAGCACTCATCGCCTTCGGGCGCTAGAGCTTTTCGCGATGCCTAGTAAAACCCATAGCCTCCAAACCCTCCACCGTAACCACCGTAACCTCCGCCATATCCTCCTCCGTATCCTCCTCCGTATCCGTCATCGTACCCACCACCGTACCCACCGTATCCATCATCGTACCCGCCATACCCATCGTATCCATCATGTCCGCCAGCGTATCCTCCGTATCCACCGTCAAACCCTCCCCCATATCCACCGTAACCTTCATCATACCCGCCATATCCGCCATACCTATCGAATCCTCCATCATAGTCATCAAAATATCCACCAGGAGCATAGTCCTCATACCCATTATCATACCCAAACATTCCTCCAACGGGCATTCCCCGTTGAAACCCCCTCGCATAAGCTTGCCCTCCCATTTCCACGTCATCGTATGCATCATGAAACCCCTGGAAATGCCCCATGGGGAATCCTTCTCTCATACCACGTTGGTCCCAGCCGGCCTTCTCAGCCCGCTCACGGCCTGCCTTGTATCCTTTTTTGGGGTGGCGTGGCATATCGTCCGTTGGGGGATCTTGGCCTGGCAGCCAGTACTGTGCCGTGGATGTGCGCCCATTTGTGTCCTCATAATGGTGTGTCCATGGGCCTTCTGAAGTAGCATGAGGACTGGCTGCGAAGGCGCCGTCTAATATGTGTTGCCGGCTTGGTGCCTTCTTCGATTTCTTCGCCATTGTTAATTGAATTAGATAGTAGGTTGCTGGAGTAGTGTGAGTATTGCTAATTTACGAAGTTGGAGTGTGTGCTGAGAGAAAGAAGAAGAACCAAAGAGCAGAGTATATAGACGATGTCAACCTGTTGATGACGACGCCAGATGCTGGCGACTCGAGGTCTTGCTGGCAAGATCTTGATGAAGAGAAGCTATACGTTTGTTCGAAGTGCGACTTGGCTACAATAACATGATGGGGCATGCTGTTTGTTCGACCAGTCACACGTTTGTGAATTCCACCTCGCCTTCTGTTATCCCTCGTCATACTTCCTGTGTACTTTGTGTCCATACGAACCCGTCGCATGCCTAGATCTTCCGGATACCAATATCCGTACAGTTTAGTGTTGTCATCAGCGGTGATGATGGTGCTCATCATCATCACTCCTCGTTACGATCTTTCTCCACCTCATTAATTCGTTAGGTTGCACCCCGCTAAACACCGCCCATGTGAGCCGCTGTTGTTCATTTCGTTGGTTTCGCTAAATGCAAACCTTAACAAAAACTCCAACGCACATGGAGCAGGCGGGTTGTCTTTTTGTTTTATCTTTTGGAAAACTCTCGAGCAAGTGATGGCGAAGAAGAAGTAAGATTCCTGATCTTTATGTAGACTTAGATTTGCGCTAAGCTCATTGCGCAAGTGCATTTACTGCTCCGTAGATACCCATGGACGACTGCTTTAGTGGTTTGGAAAAGAGATGGTATCGTGATAGATCTAAGGCAAGAAGTCCTTACACCATTCTTCGAAGAGTTCAGCTTTTTGGTACAACGAGGGGGAGAAGCGAGGAGCACATGGATGTCATTGTGGCTGCTTTTTGTTGGAACGCGAGGAGGCCCGGTGGATGTAGAAGAGTGAGAGAGGATCCTGGGAGTGGAAGCTTATATAGTACCATGATCCGCTCAAAGCCGATCGCATCAGATCAAGTTGGTTGATGCTTGGACAAAATTTGGAAGGAAAGAAACTCATTGTGTGGAGAAAACGACCCGGGCAAGCCATGAGCGCAATTCTTGTAGGTTTTAGTGGAGAGTTTTATGTGCTAACCAGAACGAAGAAGGTAGGAGGCATGCTCTTCTCTCAGCCATGTTTTGAAAGAACAGCGCGCTTTCTGAGGAAGTTACTAGACACGAACCATACGCCGGAGAAATGCAGCTTTTGACGTAGCCTACAAACCGAGAAGGACACATGGTTCAGACCGGATTATCACTCCAGTAGTTCTCTGGCTCGATTCCGGCGTCTCAATGAGGACTGAGGACTCAATCGCCCAGCAATCTCCATACGTAGCTGATCTCGGGCATCTTCGTTTCGTAGGGTGTTCTAGAAAGGCATTGGCAACATGTATGTCTTTACCGTCTTTTTCGAATCGAGGAACCCAAGGTATGTTTTAGTTGATAAGCAAGAGAACAGGAGGAGGGAATCAGGTATTTATGCGCTCATGGAGGCGAGGAAGACATCACGGTGGTGAATCCATATTTTTTTGTAGTCACAGAGACACATCGCTGGGTTTCTTGCTGACGTTTCGGTCGATCTCGGACGCCAGGGCAGACATGGCTTGTAAGTGGGATGTTTTATTTTTGGAGAAATAAAGCGCTGGGAAGGACGCAATCGCCACATCATTGCCGTCGTTTTCGTTTTTGGAAATATCGGCGATAGTTGTAGGTTGGAAGGGAATAGATAACTGGTAAAGATGCTTTTATAGTGCCAGACTGCAGAGAAAAACACATCAGGACTATCTTTCCTAGTTTTCAACTCGGTCGGCTCCCGTATATCACATCTCATGTACTTCAGAACAGCTTTCATTTACCGTGACTCTCTTGATTTTGGTGGGTGAGCACTTTCCTAATCGGGTAACTTTTCGAAAGGTGTCGATCGCCGGCGTCTGCATAGTTACCACCGCGCCCCCGGCCCAGTAATTGTGACAGCAGGCCAGCCCACCAGACATGTGTTCTGAGCCTCTGGTCTTCAATTTTCCTCCCGAGAGCAATGACGGTACATCACAGAAACCGGGGAAGACGTGAAGGTGAATATAGAGGCTGGCATCGACTTAGGCGACTGATTTTCGCGCAGTCGTGGTGGTCCTCGGTGGACACATGATACTGAAGGTATGCGCTTTGGCTGCCAGTGCACCCGCTTCATAGGGACTCCGCATCCTGCTTTGTACTCAGAGAATTCCCATGGTATAACCTTTCATAGTACTGTTTTGGAAGTCTCGGCGATTTTGACATTGGCATCCTGGGAGGAATGGAAGGGGCTTCCTTCTCGTTGCATGAGAACACATGAAAAGAGTTTTGGAGAGACCAACGCAACGACAAGTCCATCTGACGCCTCACGATCGTTTTTTTGTAATAGAGTACCAGAAGTTTTGTGTAATAGATTAGGAGAAACTATGCGGGAAGTCGCACATCTTTTGTAGTGAGCGAGATGCAGACAAAGACACATTAGTACATTTGCGACCTCTTTCTGGTACAGGAGGGTACCGAGGTACCGAAGGTCTTTCTCCCGTGAATAGTAGCTCATGTCGTTTCGTAACAGCATTGCTATCCAGAACGCGGATTTTTGTACTTAGTAGAAAGCATGCTCTTGCTAAGTGCAGAACCGAGGTAACACTCATGAAAGAGTGCGGCCGCGACTTTTTGAGACAACCGAAGTCATGTAGAGGCATGTGCTCTATTTTGATAAGACAGAGAGTCGCTAATCTGACCATGCATATAGCAGGTATCATGTTTTGGTGTTCTTTCGCCCGAGCGGAGGGTGCTCACACCCATGTCCTCAGGTGTAGCAACTTTGAGAATAAGCTTTTGAAAAGGTGTCGGGGTTGTAGAAGAAGGAATAAGGGTGTAGAAGACATCATTTATACACCATCTAGCTCCTCGGATCAAGATCCACTACAAAGAACAAGCTATATGACCATCGGTTTGCAGAGCAACTCGGCCACAGTTCGCGTTCAGCACAGCGGTAGTGCGCTATGAGGTGGACTTGGCCCATCACCATTTGTCTGGGTCCCACCAGGCGCCTGGGCCACCAGCTGTACCATTGCCGATTTCCTCGAAGAAACACATTTCCAATTCAAACCACAAAGTCAATACGTGTTCGGAAGACATGGTCAACCACCCAAAGTAACGCTGGGGGCCGAATGCCGTATTCTTTGGCACAGCAGCAGCCGCGTCGTAATCCGCCGCCACACATTTGATCATGCCAAGGTCAGGGCTCGCCAACACGTCTGCGTCGACTAGGATGAAGACTCGCCATGGACCATTGTCTTTGTTCATTGGCTGGCCTCCCGTTCCATCGTGGTAAAGCTGCCGTACCTCTTCGAGTGTCAAGCCGTCCAGGACCGCGGGATCTGAACGAGCATCTAGTTTGAAGAGTTCCTCCGCTTTGGTAATCATGGCAGGGTCTTCATTTGATTCTCCATGCGCTTTGAGTCGATGCTTGACACCAGTGGTGATGTTCTGTAGCAGCTTGTCCCATTGCTCATTAGCTCCGGGTCCATACCTAGGTAATAAGTCCGATAGATGGTAAATCCCCAAGGCTGGAGATAATCGTTAAGCTTTAACTGCTCTATGCTTTCGCCCTCGGGTACTTTGCGCAGGCTGTCGACGAACTTGGTGATCCTGGGTTGCATAAACATGGTGGCGTTGACAAATGTGTCGTGAGGTGGGTTACGTGGCCAGGCCGATTTTGCGCGGATTGCTGAAACATTTGCAATGGGAAAAAATAGCGTGATGAGCGCCTGCAGAAAGTCCAGGAAGTCGCGAAGCGAAGGATTGCGGCATGGTACGAATGGGCGGCCTCGGTGGCTGCCTCGATTATTCCATCGCTTCCGCGAGGTCTCACTCTCTGAAACGGAATCCGTGGCCATTGCAGAAGTACATAATACTATTAATACTAAAACATAGAATAAGAAATAAAGGTATAGAAGACACTATTCATATATTATTTAGCTCCCTAGGCTACAACCTAACATAGATGTCCAGTCGTCAAGTTTGCGCAGACAAATGTGACGAAAGGAGGAAGAACAGCGAGAACATCAGATTAATGTCTGTGCTTTTTGATCTCGCATGTATGGATGTCTCGCTTTTCTTTTGGAAGATCTCGTCCGCTGGATCACGACTCATAAGATTGCAGATTCGCGATTTTGGGAATCATCGAAGATGTATATGCAGACGAGACCGAGGCGACACATGTCTTGTGAATTGTTATCTTGGATAATGGCTTCTTTGCCAGAGACGCAGACATATCGTCTTGAGCCGCAAATTTTGGTACGGCGACCAAGAAACACCGGAGGAAGGAACGCACATAAGGTACAACCAGTTGAACTTTTTGGTAAAATGAGTTTGGGTGGAATGATATGATTGAAGGAGTAAGAAGGCCCAGCGGCGAGGTTTTATACCTGTTACCAAGACCCGCTAGCGACGCCTAGGAAACAAAAGTGTGTTGCTCATGCGTTTGTCGATGTGTGTTTTGGGGATGTGGGTGCGGTCAGCGCCGCGGCTGTGATGGGAACATTTGCATGTCCATAACATGGCTTCTAGGATATTCTTTTCGTATGGTGCTGGTGCTCCATGCGTCAGTTTTGACGATGCGACGAGGACGCAAGAAGTACACTCGGAGTATACTTCAGCCCTTCCTAGGGTCAGCAGATCGTTTTAACGCTCGGTCTCATGGTATCTGCCTTGCCATTTTCACGCACAGCTAGCCCATTCAGTATGCCATCAATTCCATTCAATGCAAGTGGTATCAATACTCCATCATGTCTCCCGCTGCCAATTGTATGTCCTCCGCTGCGCCATCATCCACCGCTTATTTACCAGCCAACTCCTTCTCGATATCCGCCTTAAGATCCTCAGGCTTCTTCGTGCTCGCCCACCTGCCCTTAACCTTTCCATCCTTGCCAACAAGGAACTTCTCAAAGTTCCACTTGACGCGCTTGAGGCCCATGAGGCCCGGCTTCTCGTTCTTGAGCCATTCGAAGGCGGGGTCTGCGGAAGAGCCGTTGACCTATGCGCAACAAAAAGGAAGTGAATTAGCGTGTGTTCGTTGCATCGCATAAGCCGTGGGTCGTTCGTTCGTTGGTTGCTTACATCAATCTTGCCCAGCACGGGGAAGCTAACACCATAGTTCAGCTGGCAAAACTCCTGGATCTCGTCGTTGGAGCCTGGGTCCTGGCCACCGAACTGATTGCACGGGAAGCCGATGATTTCGAAGTCGTTGGGGTGTTTGGCCTTGACGTCTTTGTAGAGCTTCTCGAGACCCTCGAATTGGGGGGTGAAGCCGCATTTTGAGGCTGTGTTTACGACGAGGACGACTTTGCCGTTGAGCTTGGAGAGGTCGTAGGGGGTGCCCTTTTCTGCGTGGGGGTGTTAGATTGCTGTTGGGGAAAATGGGAGGGAGATGGGTGAGAGCGAGAGGGAAGAGAGGTGTGACGTACTGTCCTTGGGCTTGAAGTCGAAGAAGCTCGTTGCGGAGGCCATGGTTGTGTAGTGTGCCTTCTTTCCTGGTACTTCTTTCGTTACGTAGACAGTCGTCTTCTCGAAAACAGGTATATAGGAGCGTGTAGAAGTCGTATAAGCACAAGGTGCAAAAGTGGTGGTAAGGCTTCGGAGCTTTAAGTCGTGTCGCAAAACAGGTCTGAAGTTCGTCGCGATACGCGGGGCTGTGCGGCTTGTCGCCCCTCCCAATCGAATCATGGCATGTGATCGTAATCGTAATCCTAACAATCCTACGCAAACGCGGAACTCCGTTGACCGTGTTTTGCTTACTCGAAGATTCGGTCTAGCCAGGCACGACTGTTTGACTGGCGGTTTGGGCTTACGCAATAAGACCCTGATGGAGACCCGATCTTTGGCTCTGGCCATCGGGCCTGACAGGTCAGACACAACCTCGGCTTGTCCCACCCACTGCGCACTACGGACGAAAATGCACCTGGCGGTGGGGCGCTGTCGACGACTTCGGTGATTGCTTGCTACATTTGGGACTTCACGCGATGGGCTTCTTTAGATAAATAGAAGGTATTTGGAAGCATGAGGGGCTGCCGAAGTATGCCGGAGTCGGGGAGGGCACCCACGAGGTAGCAGCTCAGGCATCCTCTATTGACATCAACGACACCAAAGGTCACACACACATGCACATGAAGAGTGATTTTGATAAGACAACAACATAAATAGCAAAACTATGTACAAAAACAAGAACAAGCTCTCCTCCAGCCACCAACGTCCGCGCGGCGGGTAATGATGGCTATACAAGACTGACCTCTTCTCTATGGTCATCCTTCCAAATACTGACAACTAGCCAAAGAAATACAACTGTACTAATTACACTCCTCCGTTAACATTAGATCAATCTGATACATCAACCAACTCATGCCATGCATAGTGCAATGAGTAGACCTCAGTCCTTCTCCCCCTCAGCGGGGTTGCTGTCGCTCCAAGAGCTGACTAGCTATCCTTTGGCATCCGAGTCCACGGCTGGGACATGTCCTTGGCTCTGTATCCTGGGTTTTCTCCGGAGATTTGTGGCCATCCAGGGCAAGTGGCATCCATCCGAGACTTGTGGGAAGTCATGGTCCTTCATCCGCGAGGCATGCGGGAATCCATCCGGCTTTCGGAGAACGCAGAAAATCAAACGCGATGTGTATGCATTGAAAAAACAAGGGTAGGGGTCCGGCTTTGTGATGACAAACCTGCTGGCGGTTGTCTCTGCAGACGGAGTCTACCAGACGTGTGCTTCATTCAGCCGCCGAAGACATCTCGGTACTGAGTGCAGATGTCGTGAAGGCCAACGACCTCCTTCGTCAACTGGATGTCGTCACCGAGCTCGTTGGGGGCACTGAGATTGGTCAGAACATCAATGATGTGCTGCTTCTTGCTCAAGAATTCCTTGGTGAGGGCCTCGCGACGCTGCTGGCGTTGTTGCTCGGCAGTGAGCTTGACAACCTTGACGCGCTTCTCACCAGTCTCCTCAGCCGACGCCTTGCGCTTGCGAGACGCTGACTTGCGAGGAGCCTGTCCTTGGACAGGCGGCGATGGCTCAGTAGTGGGTCCATCGTACTGGTGTACTCTCTTCATGTGGTCGAAGAGGTTGTAGCGACGAGGGAAGCCGTGACCTGGCACAGCGCGCTCACAGTCGCGGAAGTGGCAAAGGTGCGGCCTTGCGCCGTGACCGTGCATACCGTGCGCCTCACGTTCGTGACGGAGGAGGCATGCAGTAGAGGAGAACTGCACACCGACGCAGGTCTTCTTGTTGCAGCGGAAAGGCTTGAGGTGAGAGTCAACGTACTTGCTGTTGAAGGTGTTAGTGCATGTTGGGTTGTGTAAGAATGATACATACTCGTAGTTGCACTTCAAAGCGGTGGGCTTGTGGGTACATCCGGCCTTGCCCTCCTCAGGGCAGTGATACTTTCCATCCTTGTCTGGTGTCTGCTGGTAGAGAGGGTGGCTGCGGGCGACCTTGGTGCGCTCCTCTTCGAGCTTGGTCTCAGCTGCCTCGGACTGGGAGAGGCTGTCCTCGTTGTCTTCCACTGAGTGGGCGACAGACGCGGGCTTGGTGTCCTCAAGAACGTTGACTGTCTGAGGGAAGTGGACGCTGGCGGTGCTGGTCGGTGTGCCGACGAATGCGCCGAAGCCAGCATCTTGAGCTGAAGCTCGCCGTGACTCTTCTTGGAGAGAGTATGATGAAGAGTTGCGTAGAGTGGCGGGACGCTCCGAGGCATCGTAGGAGGCGCTGTGCCAGTTGCGCTGAGGCGAGTTGAACATGGTGTCGTTTGTTGGCCATGATGTGAAGGTGAAGGGGTTGTTCTGGAAGTTGGTCTCGGATGTAGCCCACTGTGGTGAGTCGGCGATGGTGGACGGTGCGAAGCGAGGCATGTTCGCTGGCGAGTAGTGTGTGTAGTCCTGAGCTGTAGAGTAATTAGCATATGTGAGGGGTCCCTCTGTGGCATTCCATGTTCCGGATGTGGCTGGTTGCATGTGGCTCATGTCCAGGGTCTCCGGGAATGTGCTGTAGTTCTCCGAGCTCATGGTCGGCGAGTAGATGTCGCTGCCAACAAACTGGCTGCTGATCCGGCTATCCTGGTGGTGGAGCTCCGGCTTCTGGGCTCCGCGCCGGCTGGCGCCGCTCTGGCTCTGGTATGCGCTGTCCATGCTGCACTCCGAAGCAGTATCCTTGATTTCAAAGAATTCTGCTGTGTGCATGTCCTGGAAGTCTGAAGAGAAAGGAAAGTCCGGTGCGGAAACGACCGGGGCTGGGATTTCCTTCCTCCACTCAGTGATGTTTGAGATGTAGAAAGCACTCTCCGGTGGTGAGTCGAAGAAAGAGTCGCTGGACACCAAAGTTAGTATCCAAACGCGCAAACCTAACATGTTCGTGAAGATGTACAAAGGAAAACGCCATGTTAGTATGTCCGAGGATGCCTATAGAGAGGTCAGTCAAAGCAGCGCAGAGGCGTCAGTGGTAAGCACGCACCTTAGGAAGCCAGTAAGATTGGGATTGTCTGCGAGGTAGCGACCTGGTTCCAGGGGAGGTAGGGACGGCATTATGGATGAGCTGAAACATCCATGAGTCCTTTAGCGAGAAGTTGATGATCCAGTGTATAATCCAGTGAGATCCAGTAACGTCCAAATCATCCAGAAC